AGGTAAAATTGATTGTCTGCATAGAGTTTATAATGCCTCATTCAATTTTTGTAATAACGATCTTTATTGAGGCTCTTTGAGTCATGCTATCTTGAGAGCAACATGGCGTCACATGAATTACAGGCAAAAGGTTTTTGCTCACTTGAATTGTATTACCGAATGAAGCTTTATGCACAGACAGGCGTGGTGTGTGAAACACACGACATTTCTGTGGGGTTTGTCGTCTGTTGAATGTGTCGAAAATTTCCTCATTGAGCAAAAACATATTTATTTCACAACATGCAGAACACAATGCCACGCAGTGTAAAATATAATAATTAGGGTGGTGGTTTGAGCATAAAATCTCTGAGTATTTGAGTCAATCACTTAGAAGTTTTATACGAATATATAGAGTTGAATACCATATGTGAACTCATCAGGTGGGACATAAAGTTTAGATCCACAGCAGACGATGAATATCTCAACGAAATACATGTATGTACCAACGTTTCTCGGGCATTCTTTCAGATGATTGGCTACGCTAATCACGTGATCAATTGTTTGAGTAGTTGCCAGATTTAAAGAAATAAAGACATATCTGTAAAGTTTTTCATGAAATCGGAAATTTTGAACGAGTATAAATAGCTTCAGGGTCAACTTTCCGATCACTGAAAAGTGGAAAACGATTGCTATTTTGGCCAAATGTCGACACCACATCTCTATCCTCATGCACAAACGGCACAGGTGGTGCAAAGATTTCACTTGTAGAGTGAGGGAAATAACAAATACATCGAAAAGTTGGATCCTGAATGTTTTACACCTGAAGACCATGATCATTGGAGAACTGTCTTCCTTTGGCGAACAGCGCAGACAGACATTTATAACACACGAAATAGTCCCACGACATTTTACGACCATCTTAAGTTATACACTACGCCAATCTCTGCATATGCTGGTCAAGTCACTGAGTGATGATGATCTCAATTTCAGGCCGCGGCGATGTTAAAATAATATGTCCGCTGAAAAATTAGGAGCAGACGAATCGTCAAACCTACAATAAATTTGAAAACATTTTGTTATCTAAATTTACAAATACCAGGAAGCTATAATTCTTTTTAAAAAAATCTATGGTTCATTTCTCCTATATCAGACAGTTACGATCCCAGGCAAACATTACTTCTTCTTCTCCAATAAAATTTACATTGTAGCGCTCCATGTTCTCTCATATCCAGTAACCAGCTGGTGTTTGAGGATCTTCGCCATGAAAACATAAACTTGGACTTAGCGTTTTCTTTACAAATAATTGTCCGCAAGGAGATTTAAGGGATTTTTTTGGAATTTAATTTTTTTTTTCTCCACAAATTGACCAGCCGGAAGACATAAAACAATGTCCGTCTTTGCTAGTGCTTGAATGAAATGTAGCGTTCCCACAACTTTAAGTTAGCTTCCGGGTCATTAAAAAAATATGCCAGACTGTATAAGCTAAAAATGCTTTGATGATGAGCGAGGGGAGAGAACCCAACTCCAGTGCTCTACACTTGGAGATCACATCAGAAAATTAGTTTGAAATATATAAAGAACCAACCTGCGCTGCTACACCCCACACCCCCCCACCTTGTACATACTTAAATGTTAAAACTATGGTTAGATACAGTAAATATTATGGTATTTCCCCGAGGACCGACATATTGATTGGCTTCAGTGTTCGAAAATAATGATTGAACTATGGGATTATTAAAATAGACTCCAAAGGTGAATGTGACATATTTATCCTAGACAATTATTCTCGAATTAGGTTAATTTCCCTTTTAGTCGTTTAAAAAAAAAAAGAAGAAGGTTGGAAAAAGGAAAAAAAAGGGGGAGGGGCATTTGCTGAAAGTCTCTAATCAGATGATTAATCTTGCAATTCCCCAGGTTTATGCAAATAATGACACCTTTCCAAAACGAGTCACCACCATAAAATAAACACCAAAGGTGAATGTGACATATTTATCCTAGACAATTATTCTCGAATTAGGTTAATTTCCCTTTTAGTCGTTTAAAAAAAAAAAGAAGAAGGTTGGAAAAAGGAAAAAAAAGGGGGGGGGGGCGTTTGCTGAAAGTCTCTGATCAGATGTTTGATCTTGCAATTCCCCAGGTTTATGCAAATAATGACACCTTTCCAAAACGAGTCACCACCAATCACACAATTTTAATAATGATAACACAGCCTAACGAAACGTATCCCGAGCTCTTTTGGGTGTCAAAGAATTGAGCATAGGTCAATTTGCATAACACGCCCTGCAAGCTATTTTCATTTTAATGCGACCTTTTCTTGTAGCGTCTGCTTTCAAAGTATCCCTAATTTTCACACGTGATTTTCCAGCGTTTTTGTGTTTCAATATTGAGCATCTCCTAGACGCCGGAATTCATTGATCTCGTCAGATCACACAATGTCAAACCATTACCGAGGATAAGAAGCGATCATTTCCCAGCATTTAACCCCACCAGGTAAATACTCCCCCCGCCGGGCCATTACGACTCGATCACGTCGGTATCGCATCGGACTCTTCAAATTCGATACATGGTTTGGATTGGTGCTTGGTCTTCCATGAATATGTTTTGTGATTTACGACAAAAAAAACCAAGAAAAAAAAACCACAACAAGCTGTCACTTGTAAACCAAGCACACAAAAAGTACACCGCACATACCCGATGGCGCTAAAGGGAAGTAACTGTGTTGGGGGGGGGGTTGGGGGGAGGGATAATAGCCCCTTGACAACTGGCAGACCGTAAATTGGCAATAATGTTTCCGTAAGTGACGGTGTATCTAATATTACACTTGTTGCTTTTCGTTGTTTGTCGCCTCACAGATGTGGTCCGTAATGGGGGGGGGGGGGGGGCGTTGGGACGTTTATAGTATTTAAATGCAAATAGTTGCCCGAAGCTATTTGAAGCCATTATGTCTACGAGCGAGGGTGAAGAAAAGATGAAAATAAACGAAGACATCATTACTGCCAGAACAGAAAATAGTGCAGTTCTAGTCCGAGTGTATCCGAGATGGCGTTGGGAATAATTTGAAGGACGCGATGTCTGACTGTAAGTCATTAGACTTAGAGACTTAGAAAATTACGAATTTTCCTGAAAGTAAACTGAACGAGAAATTACGAGATGCGAATAGCTCATCGCGCGCGCTCGTGTATGTTTGTGTGTGTGTGTGTGCGAATGATAATGCAACACATTAACGCCAATAAGAGGCAGTCATTTCGTGTTCTTCAGTAAATGCACAAGCAACAGATTTTTATATCAGCCTTTACCACCGATTATATCTGAATTTCATTGCATCCAAGTCACTGGCTGTTCAAGTAATGTCTGTCTTTAGAGTCAATATCGGCACGTTTAAAAGTGAACACAAACGTCTTCTTTCATAACACAAGGTCCCTGTTTCTATGCCACTTACCATTTTCGACCGATTAACATAGCCATAACCACTCATAAAGTAATCCATAATGTAGTCAGTACGCAGGCTTACCAATATGTCCTGCTGTCGTCGTATGAATATTTATCTGAACGTTGTGCAGCACAACGCCTGAAGTCCTCTACCAGGCCCGACTCGTGCACACTGATCTTTAATCAAAAATCGAAAAATAAAATTGCGCATCTTAGTCCGTTGTGCCCTACAAGGTGCACCATGTAGGTTTTAGTCTAGCTGCCTTACTAAAAGAAGACATTTTCTATCCATAAATCATTTCCGAATTGATGGAATGATTTTTTGTTTTGTTCGATACATAGATGAAAGGTCGAAATCCGCAAACATACGTCACTTCCTCTTCGGATATGTTTTATTGATCAGCTAATGTATCTTTATATTTATCTATCCAGCAATCAGTGTCAATGGGTTCATCTAACAATAAATGTGTGTGGTATGTAGATCCATTGATCTATCTGTCTACTTGCTGTTTGTTTTAGATCGTTTTTGTTCATGTCTGCACTTCAACTCAAACGTTTGTTCACCCATTTATCTGTGAACAGAAATCTCTCTCAGTCAGCCTCGCTCTTTGGAAACGTGACATAGTGTTCCCATCTTTACGTGAGGTCGTGTTCCAATCGTATGTTGTACTACATGTTTACGTGGGTTATTTTTTCAATGGTATGTTGTGCTACATAGTTACGTGATTTATTTTTTTTTTCAATCTTATTTTGTGCTACATGTTTACGTGAGTTATTGTTTCAATCCTATGTTGTGCTACATGTTTACGTGAGTTATTGTTTCAATCCTATGTTGTGCTACATGTTTACGTGATTTATTGTTTCAATCCTATGTTGTGCTACATGTTTACGTGAGTTATTGTTTCAATCCTATGTTGTGCTACATGTTTACGTGATTTATTGTTTCAATCCTATGTTGTGCTACATGTTTACGTGATTTATTGTTTCAATCCTATGTTGTGCTACATGTTTACGTGAGTTATTGTTTCAATCCTATGTTGTGCTACATGTTTACGTGATTTATTGTTTCAATCCTATGTTGTGCTACATGTTTACGTGATTTATTGTTTCAATCCTATGTTGTGCTACATGTTTACGTGATTTATTGTTTCAATCCTATGTTGTGCTACATGTTTACGTGAGTTATTGTTTCAATCCTATGTTGTGCTACATGACTACGTGAGTTCTCATCTTTACATTAGTTTAGTGTTACGATCTTCTGTAGGGCTACATGTCTATGTGAGTTAGTGTTTCCATTGTATTTCTAGAACTTGTTTACGGGAGATATGTTTCCATCTGTGTCTGTTCGCTCTGTTTCATATTTAAAATTTAACGACTGACATAAAAAATGTATTCTTTTATTATAGTCTATTTAAAGCTAATTTTGTATACGTTAAGTTATTAAATTTTTTTTTCTAACAGTCTTGCAATTTTGACATAACCTTTAGACTAGAACTATGTTCAGTTTATTCCTGCTTTAGACATGTTCAGCCCCACAAGCAAACAGAAATAGTTAATCACCTGTCCTGACCAACCATGGATGGCAGGGGCGCCTACAATACCACAACGCCCCTTTATCTCACGACAAACGTGTCAGCAGCGACGCCCCAGCCGAGGCCCTTGGTCAGCGACGCAGACAAACACATCGTTGACCTCGTCTTCTTCGTGTCGTTCAACGGCGTCGTTGGGTTGCTGGGCTCCGTCGGCAACGTCATCAACATCATCGTCTTTCTCAGACAGGTTGGTCGGTCTGTACGGTGCTCGTGAGAATGTCCCCGGGCAGCTTGGCGTGTCTGCCTAGTGCTAGTGAGAATGTCTCAGACAGGTTGGTCGGTCTGTCGAGTGCTAGTTAGGATATCTCAGACAGGTTGGTCGGTCTGTCGAGTGCTAGTGAGAATGTCTCAGACAGGTTGGTTGGTCTGTCGAGTACTAGTTGGAATGTCTCAGAAGGGTTGGTCGGTCTGTCGAGTGCTAGTTAGAATATCTCAGATAGGTTGGTCGGTCTGTCGAGTGCTAGTGAGAATATCTCAGACAGGTAATCTTTTTGTCCAGTTGTAGTGACAAGGTTTTCTCAGACAGTTTGGTCCAGAGCTAGTGAGAATGTTTTCGAGACAGGTTGATCTGTTTGTCCAGATTAGTGAGAATGTTTTCGAGACAGGTTGATCTGTTTGTCCAGATTAGTGAGAATGTTTTCGAGACAGGTTGATCTGTTTGTCCAGATTAGTGAGAATGTTTTCGAGACAGGTTGATCTGTTTGTCAAGATTAGTGAGAATGTTTTCGAGACAGGTTGATCTGTTTGTCCAGATTAGTGAGAATGTTTTCGAGACAGGTTGATCTATTTGTCCAGATTAGTGAGAATGTTTCAGATAGTTGTCTGTTTGTCCGTGCTAGTGAGAATGTGTTCATGTAGCATTTAAAGCTAGCTCATAGAATATATATTTGTTGTAACGAGGCCGTGTCATGTATGTATCATATTTTCAGCCAAGCCACAGAAATATGTTTGTCTGCAATTGTTCACCTGCTTTAGTTAGAATTTTACGCTTTGCCATACAGATAGATTAGCAGAAAGAAACGAAGCTTCCTCATATAGACTTCAGTGCCAAGTCATTACAGGCATTTGGTTTCATTTAAATTTCAAGTTTGCCGTGACACAGTATGCGTGGAGTTACTTAGGGGTATTTACATATAATAGGCGAGGAAAAGATAGTGCCGTCCTACAAGAGTTTTCGGGGTCGATCAAGTTCACCTGACATATACACTGTCTCAATATCATCAAGTCTGTTGTGGGATCACGTTGGGCTGATGTTTGTGAACGTGGTGAGACTCTGAACAAGTTGTCACAGATGGATATATTGTCCGGGTTTTCAGGGTTTCTAACGAATACAGCGGTTCTCAACCTGTGGGTCACTATAACTTTGGGGATTCTTACGACCCTTTTCCAAGGGTCGCCTAAGACCATCGGAAAACACATAGGCTCTACAGTTATGAAATAGCCACGGAAATGATTTCGTTGCTTGGGGTCACCACAACAAGAGGAATAGATTAATTAGACACCAACAACTTGTGTCAATATAACAATATAATTTAAGCTTAAATAATAGTTATCCAGAATACATAAGTAAACGTTTTGGCACATGCCTTCATCTCTACAATAACAAAACATTTAAATAAGTATAAATTAAATTTACATAATATATATTTACATATATCCTACCTAAAAATAATTTTAAAAAATAGGAGAGGGCGCAAAAAACCGGACAAAAACAATGTAAAGGAGAGAGAAAAGGAAGTGATTTGAACAAAATTGTAAAAACCAAACAGGACAGAGACATCGCAGCTAGGTTAAAATTGTGGATTTGCTTCAAGAGGAACTGTATTAAAGGGTCACGCCATTAGGTAGGCTTAGAACCACTAAGCTAATTTGAGTTATTTAGTGGGGGCTGAGCCAATTGTTAACATGGACGACTGGAAATGCCAAATTTAACACACCCGGAACAGGAGAATAAAATGGAAACGCAAGTTGACACAAATGGTTATAAACATTTTTTGACTCATCTTTGGTGTATCCGTTTACCTCTGAAATGAATAAAATCAAATAATATTAGATAATTGACTGGCAATCGGTGCAAAACTAAATGTAAGCTAAATAAAACTAAATTTAAGCTAAATAAAACTAGATGTAAGCTAAATAAAACTAAATTTAAGCTAAATAAAACTAGATGTAAGCTAAATAAAACTAAATTTAAGCTAAATAAAACTAAATGTAAGCTAAAGGAAACTAAATGTAAGTTAAATGAACTTTAATGTAAGCTAAATGAAATTAAATGTAAGCTAAATGAAATTAAATGTAATATGAATGAAACTAAATGTAAGCTAAATGAAACTCAATGTAAAATAACTAAAACTAAATGTAAGCTAAATGAACCTAAATGTAAGCTATAAAAACACTAAATGTAATGTAAGTGAAACTAAATGTAAGCTAAAGGAAAGTGAATGTGAGCAAAATAAAAAAAAAAAGTTAAGCTTAATAAAACTAAATTATGTAAGTTAAATGAAACCAATGGTAAGCTAAATAAAAACAAATGTAAGCTAAATGGCACTTCAAAGCTCGAATAATAATATTATACTTGCTTTGACTGTTTTTTTGTGTCATATATTTGAACAAGATGTCTACATGTTGTTCTGATAGATGACAGTTCACGTTTACAATTGATGTTTCCCTTCACATGCTGGCTGCCAAGATGTCAGTGCCCATCAACAGTTACTCACTCGGCCTTGAGGCAGTGCTTTCTGTCATTGGATAATAATATCGATTACTTTGTTTAGAATATTGTATTTTAAATAAAGGGAATATCGATTAATTTTGTTCAGACGATCGTATTTAAAATCAAGAGGATATCGATTATTATTTAAGAATATCTTATGTCAAATCAGGGAAATATCGATTACTTTTGTTTATAAATGGTATTTGAATTCAAGTGAATATTGATTACCTTGTTTAGAATATCGTATTTCAAATAAAGGGAATATCGTTTACTTTTGTTTAGAATATCGTATTTCAAATCTAAGGAATATCGATTACTTTTTTTTAGAAAATTGTTTGTTAATTCAAGGGAAAATTGACGATGTTCAGACACTTAAGACACAAATTTAACGAATCAATACAACATATTGGTTTCTTTCGCAGCGCTGTTTGCTTTTTAAAGATATGTTTAAAGCAAATTCATTTTTTGTTGTATTTGAAATTTTAATCAAAGCAATTATTTTTCGATTTTAGGTCTTAACAATAGGATATCAATTTCTTTATCACCATTACAATGGGTTTTTAATCTTTATTGTTTGAACTCGAAAAAATTTCTTTAGGCTCTAATTTTCCTGATAATACATTCTATAGTTAAAATTGCTACATGAAGAATCCTCCTTAGGCTTCTAGGGTCCATGACACTATCTTTTGAGATCCGTGGTCAATGACACTGGATAAAAGAGACGCCCCCACCCCTCTGAAAACAGATTCTTGGTCACGAACAATAGAGTTATCAGATCTACTTTCTAGTATTTGCACCATATTCACCCCTTCCCCTCTAGTTATCATCTGCTTCTATTTCCTACCAGGGCTTCAAGGACACGGTCAACATCAGTCTCTTGTGCTTGTCCGTCTCTGACCTTGGCAGCCTGGTGACCTTGGTCTGGGAGAGCATCACCGTGAACCCACTGTTCATGGGGGCAGAGCTGCCGTTCGATTCGTTGGATGTCAGTTATCTGACGGCAGGTGAGACTTACCGAAAATGAGAATCACCTTTAATTTGGACCAGGCTAGACTTACATTTACTTCATGCAGGTAGAAATTATCTTCCATGACGGCAATTAAGACTTACCGTACTGCTCCGGATGCTATCTGTATCTCATGTGCCACACTGTCTAAAAATATTTGTGCACTCCGTCATATGCCAAAATATTTGTGCACTTGGTCATGTCACAAAACATTTTTTGTACTCGGCCATGTCACAAAACATATTTTGTACTCGGTCATGTCACAAAATGTTTGTGCACTCGGTCATGTCTCAAAATGTTTGTGCACTCGGTCATGTCACAAAATGTTTGTGCACTCCGGCATGTCTTTGACTTTGAATATGATAAGATTAAGTACCAGCATTCATCGATCGCTATCTTAAAATTTAAATGTAAGATATATGTGAATTGTTAGGTCACTCGCGAATGATACTTTAAAACCTGTCACCATGAGATTCTCGAATTTCAACAACTCGATACCAAACAGCATGTCATCAAAATGTCATCTTCGTCTGCTTAACAAGTTCAACTCCTGGTCGAGTAGACCTATTGGCCATTAACAGTATCTTTCTAAGCTTTCCATTCTCTTGTTATTGTCCCCATATCTTGCCAATACTTTCCAACGCCTTACAATTTAAAAAAAAAATATGTCCTAAATAATCTAATTTAGGTTATTTTTGTTTTGCTGCTTGTCCAAAATGAAATATTATCCCCCCCCCCCCCAATACAATATTTTAAAACATTTATGCTAAGGGTAACTCCATACGGAGATGCAAAATTCAGCTCATGTGTTATAACTGCGCAATGTTTAATAATGCTTAACTAACATCCATAGTTTTTTTCTTTGCCAATTAATAGTTTTAATATATTTCCTCATACTTGTTATTATCATACAAAATTTATGAATAGCATGCACCATGATTTCAACTTTGGTACTTAAATTATAGGACTGTTTTTCTTGTATCCATTTGCCCCACACAGCCGTGCCCCACGCCATTTTTGTGAGAGTCGCCTGGTGGATCACCGCTTTCGTCACGCTCGAGCGATGCCTCTGCATCGCGATGCCGCTCAAGATCAAACAGATAATCACGGCCCGACGCACCATCGTCATCAACGTCGTCTTCTTCGCCGGCACCCTCATCGGGTTGTGCCCCATTTTCCTCTGCAGAACGCTGCGTCCGCTATTCAACTCAGCGAAGAATCGGACCATTGTGGTGACGGTGAAGCCCGATGGGTTCTTCGACATCGAAAACATCGGCTTCACCTTCAACGTCGTCTCGCAGTTCAGCGCCTTCATCATCGACGTCGTGTGCACCGTCACCATCATTCAGATCCTCCAGATGAAATCGAAATGGCGGAGCGAGACGGCCAGCACATCCGCTTCCGGTGCGAAGGCCGGCTTCGAGTCGAGAGACAAGAAGCTGATTAAGATGATCGCGTTCATATCGTGCATCTTCATCGGGTGCTCCATGCCCAGCTGTCTCAACTACGCCGTGACGGTCACCATGGATGAGTACACGCGAGATTTACGCTACCACAACGTGAACCGGATCTCGTGGGCCGTCATCGTGGCGTTGGAGGCTATAAATAGCTCAGTGAACGTGTTTGTGTACTACAATATGAGTGGCAAATACAGGACTGCGTTCAATGAAATGTTCTTCGGGAAAGATAGTACCCCGAAACTGAAAGCTGAGAAGCAATAAAATATAAATAATAATTTCAATTAAATACTTCGTCTATGTGATAATATTTAAAGATTCTTTTTTTTTAAAAAAAGGTTATATTTTTAACGCGTACAAAGACATGGATGTTAAAACGTAGTTCTTTCATGTTTATATTACAATTAAACAACATGTGATGAAAATGTATTTCGGCTCTATTTATTTCAATTCTTCATTTACAAATGAGTACTAGACTTATATCTTGTCATATTTTACCAAAAGTTTTTTAAAAGGGCTGCATTGATCAAGCTACCTGAAGGTGAAAAAAAAATTTCCCATGATGCCAAAATTTAATTTTAAACATCAATAAATTATTGCAAATAAATTATTCATAAAATTCTTTGCGTTTAAATAAAATATTTATGTTTTCAATAAATGATTTATGAATCGTATAAAAAACTATCGTAATATTTGAAAACTTCTATATGTTTAACGAAAACTGAACTAGACGATACGGTTATGTGTAAGACGCCCTTTTTCAATGATACATAAAACAATATGAAAGGGTTTACTAAGATAACAGATAGAGAAAATATCTGAAAAACAACAATTTTGGAATGGAGACCATACCCATGATCCTACGCATCATTCTTTAACACACGGTTACAACATCATTCTTTAACACACGGTTACAACATCATTCTTTAACACACGGTTACAACATCATTCTTTAACACACGGTTACAACATCATTCTTTAACACACGGCTACAACATCATTCTTTAACACACGGTTACAACATCATTCTTTAACACACGGTTACAACATCATTCTTTAACACACGGTTACAACATCATTCTTTAACACACGGTTACAACATCATTCTTTAACACACGGTTACAACATCATTCTTTAACACACGGTTACAACATCATTCTTTAACACACGGTTACAACATCATTCTTTAACACACGGTTACAACATCATTCTTTAACACACGGTTACAACATCATTCTTTAACACACGGTTACAAAAGCATAAGCAAACGTTTTGAAACCTCAACTAAAAAAATGAAATAAATTAAAAATAATAAGATAATAATAAAAACCATAATTAATGATAATGAGATAAGGGTACGAGAATTACTCAGCGCTGACGGGCTTAATATAGTTATATTTTAAAGAAAGGTTGCTGGGAGCTCACTAATGTTACACACTGTTTGTTAAACAGCAATATAAAATATAAAGCAAAATAAAAACACATTTCGCAGACAAGTAAACGTCAGAGGTATTTACAGTAAATCAGAAATTTTTGAAACCCATTCCCATAAATGCTGCAGTATTCATGATTACCAGTTACCAAACATTAATTCTCTGCCATTACAATAGGAGTTACAGTCTTACCAAATGTGAGACAAGATATCCGTATTATGATGAGATGATGGATTCAATAACGCCAAAGTCAAAAGAAGATTGCAGGTAGTAGATTGTTGAGTTTTCTCACTGTTCTTTTATTAATGAAGGTCCTTAACTCCAGGGAGGAAATGTTTACTGTTGGCTTTGGCAAAAAGTATGTATGTATGTGTGTGGTGTGTGTGTGTGGGGGGGGGGGGGTTTTTGGGGGGGGGTTAAAAAAAAGGGGGGGGGTTTAACTGCATTTTCCCCTC